TGCATTTCTACACTGAGGACACATTTCTACACTGAGAACGCATTTCTACACTGAGAACACATTTCTACACTGACACATTTGTACTGTGAACATATACAGTGACCGCTTTGCAATTATTCATTGTGAACTATTGGATGGGTAGTTGGGATGACAAAAGTGACTCAAGTAGAATGGTAGCTTTTGAGTAGGAAGCATATTTGAAGACTGCGTTGACATTTTAACCACTGTAGGGATAGCTTTCAAAAGTGGAGGTACACCTCAGTTAAAACCCCATCACAAGTGTGTTCAGTCCCATGTTTCTGTATCAAAGTAACTAGAAAACTGTACAGAATATCTACCGTACCATACCAAACCAAACCATATCATACTAAACCTACCAAAGGAAGGTTTTCAACTATTGAGGAATGGTAATTTTAGTAAAATAATTTTTAATTTTTAAAGTTTCATAAATTTAGTTAGCTAACATCTCAAAGCCAAAACATCTTGTCATTTTCATCATAAGAATATTTTTCAATATTTGAACAGAGAAGATCTTTTAAAAAACAGAAGAGGTTTTTAAAGTTGGTTATCATTTTGGACTAGTAAATTGTGTTTGAACTGTTCATAGTATGATTTGTGTGGTACTTCTATAAGTAGTCATATTTCTGGAAAAAATCTTTTTGTATAGCAAGCTAAGTGCAATTACCACCAATATCATTTTTACTTGTTTCCTATGTACAAATTTTCTGTTCAATTTATATCTAACAGAGATTTTACCGTGATAGGCTTGGAGAAAGGATCTTAGTTGACAAGTACATGTATTTGTTCTGCAAATTTGAGAGATGTTGAGGAAAACATTTTAAATGGTGCAGACCTTTGCACAGGGTTTATATACATGTGTGATAAAGTATTGTACTGATATAGCATAAGCATCGCTGCTGTCCATTAACATACAGGTACACATGTGACCCATTTCATCAAATATGAATCATTTAGAAAATTTGACAGACCATGAAAGAAAAGAATATCAATAATAGGGAAATACATGATGATAATTAAGCTGTCTTTTTATGGTATATGTGTTTTAACGTATATAAGTCAGTGTTGTTTACATTGAGGTCTATGTACTTTTTGTTAAAAGTTATCCCTGCAATTCTGTTTAAATCGATGACTAACAAAACGTCAGCATTTAAGGTTGTTCTTTTTAAAGAAATTCTTCCAACCAACTGCAGTGTGCGTCTACGAAAGTGCTAGCACTACAATCATTGATGTGACGACACATCGGATTGAGCATGGATTCGTTATTCCTCTTGGTGTCATTCATGTTTGTGAGACTCAAAGTTATCTCCCGATACAAATCTTTTAGGTTACTGCCGAAAGTGGAAACTAAACAAGATGTAAAAATTCTGTTTTTGCCCATAAAATGTGGACAGGTTTCTATACTTGAAATACGCTTCCGTAACTTGTAACACGAGTACTGTTTGCTACTTTCCATGGCTGCATTGAAAAGCAGATGGAAATTTATTCACTCTGGAATTTTCTGCCACCGCATCAAAAATTTATGAGATTAACTCTAAATTATTAGCGATTAATATTTTTTATTGTAGTTCCAGCGAAATGATTTTGGCTCCATTGTATCCGCTGGGACAGAGGACATAGCCAAACCATCAGTGTTTATTCTACATTCATACTTACATGTACGCGTTGTACATTTTTTGTACTGGTGTAAGTATGCATTTGTATTTGAGCACACTGACTTACATGTACGTCTTATGATAATTTTGAATCTAAGTAGGTAAGTGTGTGTACATGTACAATTATAAGCTCATCAAGTGCTTATTATGTTTTACATAATAACCACCCTTATTTTTATATTACAATACACTCTACCCAGGCAAGACTGACTTCAAACTATTGGAGATAAAAATTGGATTGGCGATTTCCAAAAATCTAAATTTACAAGGGTTAACTTTGCATCTTGAATGAATATTTAAAAGAAACTCCTTGAATAGTAAATAATAATAAAAAATCATTGAAGAGAATTTACCAGTGATAAAGTGATAAAGTTGTGATTTTGTAAAATTTTAAATTGGAAAAGATTGCTAGGTGTTAACTGTGCTTTTGAATTAAAATTTAATGGGAAAAATTATGGGATAGCCTTACATTATGAGTTAAAATGTATTACAACAGATTAATTTGTGTTTAAAATATTACAAGGTTTCAGTTTCTAACGGGAAAGTAAATTACAATGGATAAAAATATAACAAGGGTTTGACCTTGGGGGAAAAATCAAAAGATGCAAGGTGTACGTCTCACAATCTGTTAAAATCTAAATGCATGGGTTTATTTTGAAGAAAGAGTGGGAAAATGTGAGGGTTTAACCTTACATAAGAATTAAAAATGAAAATTTAGAAGAAAAAATACTGGTTGTTTACACGCTGAACAAACCTTTGACCCACTTTAGGCAAAGGGTTAGCCTTGCGTTTTAAATTCAACTACACAAAAAATTACAAAGAGTTAACCTTACATCCTGAATTAAAGTGCTTCCTAAATGCAAAAGACTATTTCAACATATGGAATTCAACTTAGGCAAAAAATTGCGGAGGAAAAATCTCACATTTTCAATTGAGATTTACAGGAAATTTATGCAAACATGACAAAGGGATTAACCCTGTGTTTGGAATGAAGATTGACCCTCATCCCCCAATCAAAGTGGCTAACTTTTTACTTTGCAAGAACATTCAAGGGGTAAACCTTGCATATTAAATCCAAATTTCACCAAGAAATTGCACGGAAAAATCTTACATGTAGAATTGACAATTAATGAAAACATTAAAAAGAGTTGATTTTGTGTAACAAAGATTTGACCAAAATATTCCAACATGTCCAAAGGGCTATCTTGTATTTTAAAGAAAACTTAAAACGGGTAATAGATACTGAAGATTGCATTCTGACTGCAGATCCTGACATTCCCATTACAAAATTTGAATTACACAAAAATATTACATGTACATGTACCAGGTAGTCAGTCCTGCACTTAAGATGAAAATGCCCCCAAATTTATTTGCAAGACACAAGAAGGGGTTCATCTTTCACTTTAATGAAGATGTGGCCAACATAACCAACACATTGTACTTGAAAGTAATGCAGATGAGACCAAAAAATGCTAGGGGTTATAATTACAATGTACATTCTGAAGTAAACTTTAAAAAACAATGAAGTGAATTAAAAAAGAAAACAGGGGTTTATCTTTTATTTGAAACCATAACTGGAGGAAACATTGCATGTACATGTATGTGCAGTTCAACCTACACTTTGCACAAATTTTCAGCATATTCCTTGGAAACCAAAACGAAACGCAAGGGGTTAATCTAAAAATGTGAATACAATTTTGGAGAAAAATGATATTGCAAGGAGTAACCCTTGTGTTTTGAATAAAAACTTGAAGAGCAAACTCTTACAGTACAATGCACTTGTCTTGCATTCTTGATGAAGATTTGACCAAAAATCTTGCAGAGGGTTAACCTTTTTTTTAAAGTACATTTGATCAACAGTACATTCTAAGGAGTGAAAGTACATTCAGAATAAAACTTTGATCAGAACTTCAACAACATACATGTACAGCAGCTACAATTCACATTCAGGGACACTTATCTGCAGATATCATGGATATGGAATTTTTCCTCTATAAAGGGAAATTCTGAAACAAATGACTTTTGAACACATACATGTATTAACCGACTTGTGCTTTATTTTGCTCTTGGTTTTGCCTGCGAGAAAAACGGGTTTTGGTACTTAAAAATCCATGGTTCAAACTTGGACAAATACATTTATTAACTGTAGGCCTACATGCACCTATCATTTGATAACCAATCCTTTTGATCACCTATCATTTTGATAAATCAGTGATTTTAATTTCTTTAAATTCAGATTTAGAAACAATTAATTTGAATTAAAATTTTATGAAGTTATTCCATCAGTATGAAGGACTGTTCAATATAAAGCCGAACTAATATTACAATTAAAATAACCAAATGTACAATTTTTGCGTCTTTCCGGAGATAATTAAATACACAATTCAACCAATTGTCCATTTAAAAATTTACATACATGTACAGTAATTCTATGGCAAGCATGTCTTATTTAATATCTGTACACAACTTCTGACTTCACAACAACAAATTTGACTCCTCAACAGAGTTAATAAATATGCATGATTTCAAACAAAAGTTTGACAAGCCATTGATTTGTGACTTCCAATGTTTCTTCACTGGCAAAAGGTTGCACCTTGTAACAAAACATTAACCAATAGTCCAGGCTCCCTGTATGTTCCATCAATGCACGAGGTGGTCAACAGCAGGATTTGGTCACAGAGTTCAAAACAACCATTGAGAAATATTGGATCAGGTCTTACAATTTTTAGTGATGGTCAAGTGCATTGCATGATTGGCATGTGTGGAGACTTCTGAGATTTTACTGACTGCAGTGACATTACTAAGACTGGCATGTACATGTACAGTGTATGGTAGACGTACATACAGAGCAGTAATACTGGCAAGGCATGACTTGCTTGGTTCTTGCAGTGAAGTTGAGTCAGGTTGGCATAGTGGGTTTTTCTTAACCTTCCACCTATGCGGTCCGAGTTCAATTCCCAGCTCAGTTCACATGTTAATTGGGTTTCCCTGCAGTCTTTATCAATTCCATTGGTTTTACCCAGAATATTCCTTTGGGGTCTTTGCCTGTAACCAGTGTTGTAGTTAAGTACTTTTTTCCAAGTACCAAGTACTGCCGAGTACTTTGACTGCCGAGTACAAAGACGGGGCGAGTACTTTGCCAGCCGAGTACAAGTACTGATTTCTGAGTACAAGTACGTGTACTTGCACTTCCGAGTACGAGTACAAGTACTTCTAATTCCGAGTACGAGTACAAGTACATGTACTTCTAATTCAAAAGTAGTTTTATCTTAATTTAGAGACTGTAAGACCTGCCACTGTGTAAAAGAAACACCGAATGCAGATGACATGGCTACAAGAACAAGTGATCTGGCAAGCAATGTCACGGTCACTACACGTGCGTTGCAGCAGTTGACACAACATGCACGGCACCGCAAAGTCTATTTTCCAGACTCAATTAATCACATGCCTGTGATTTTCTGTATGCTGGGTTCGTTATTAGAATTTTCGAGTCCAGGAACCAGACTACCAATGCCCAAGTAAATCGCGGGACCATTCTGGAGTACCACAATATAATTTGCGTACGTGATTGGTTAAGTACGCGCACAGACGGCGAATGGGTCGTATGAATTAATGGTCCTACGTTCGGCCTTCTCTTTGTCAGAACAGTATCGAATATCGGGTCATTGGAGTCGATATTTTTGTACCTTATTTTAACAGCCGTGCATGGTAAGTTAACCTAAAGGATTTTTTTATCGAGTACTGTTAATCGAGTAGGAGTACTTTGAAGCTCAAGTACAATTTTTGGATGTCGAGTCCCGAGTATTTTGTAGCCCGAGTACAAGAACTGTAGTTCGAGTACTTGGACATCCGAGTGCAAGTACGAGTACGAGTACTCTGAAAACGGTACTCGAGTAGTACTCGAGTACAAGTACTACAACACTGCCTGTAACACTGTAACTGTTTGCCACTCTCCATCTCCTTTTGACAAGTTTCTTCAGCTACAGTCACAGTGCATAGGGTTCCTATGAGGAATTATTGGTCTCATTAACAGAAATTTTGAACTGTTGTTTCATATTTTATATACATGTACTTACTACATAATGAATGCTCTCAACCAGTTACATGTAGTTCAAAGAGTCCGGTCAACTCTTGCAAGCGTAGTAGATTTCTCGGGGCTGCTGATTAACCCGGATTCTACCACTTGTTTTTTTTAAATACAGGTTAAAGCCCCATCATTCTTGAATGGACAGAGTTGTTCCCAACTCCTCTGTCAGTTCAATCACTCATGATAGCTGTTCTGTTACAGTCTGCTACAAATGAAGGATTGTTCATTTCCACACAGGTTTTTTGGGCATTGGGGGCTGACTACCTTTCCGGCGGTCACCTGTGGCAGAGCCTGGTCGACTCCCAACCCCAGCAGCTGAGGGAGGCCTGCTGGGAGGTGTGGACCTGGGGGTGCAGCACAGACTCCCTGGAACGGGCGGGCTCCAAGTTAACAGGGGCCCCCTCCGCAAATCCTCAGGTTTCTCCCAGGGGGCTGGGAAATCAGGCTCCTGGAGCTTGGGGCCAAAGAGTGACTCGTCTATGTAGCTGGGGCTGGACTTATAAAGCCGAGAGCGGGTCCGCGGTGCCCCACTCGCGCTCACTAGGGGTGGCTTAATTGGAGGGGTCCCAGAAGGGCTTCGTTTGGGCAGCTCGCTTGGCATCTCATTTCGTTCCCCATGCACCATCCACTCACTGCCTCCGACCGACCTGGGTCGGGCATTTAATGGACTGTTCCGAGACTGAAGGTAGCGCTCGCGCTGGGAGGTAAACAGAGTCTCCTCTGCTGAGCCACTGTTGGACACCTTACGGTACTTGTAGGACTTATTGGTCTTGTGAAGTGGAGTGTTGGTGTGCATGGTTTCACCAGCCACACTGAGACTTGTCGCCCTGCCACTGTCTGGACGACTACTAAAGGATGTCATGCTTTCTACAGTACCTGCCAAGTAGATTTCTGAAAATGGGGGGAAATAGTAAAGAGCAATCGTTGACATGCTTTATCCATTAAAAGAATGCATGAAAAATTGAAAACTACATGTATGTACATGTACCAACCTCCATTCACTCACCATAATAAACACCAACATGTAACTATTCAATATTACACTGTACTGTGGTCTTGGCATAATTTTGATTAAAATCGACTCAGACTCCTTCATGTCTAAATTTGAAGGAGCTCTGCAAAAGCACCGGAGTGAACAGGTAATGATCGTTGACTTACTGTCAGCTGGTTTGTGTAATGGCGAAATGAACTTCTAATTTTGCAGAGTTCTGTGAGTGTTGTTAAACTACATGTACATGTAATTCAGGAGCATCAGGTGTTTTTCCTTTTCTGTTTTATGAGCAATGTATTATTAGACCATACATGTACATGTAGTTCACAGCAACTGAAGCACTGATTTCTCACACTCATTTATTAAGACACGTAAAGAATTCCATACACGAATACCGCTAACATTTTTCTGTACAGTACCTTTTAGCCATCTGAAAGCAACATGACCTAAAAGTCATAGTTCATCCATGAATTTCCCTTGCACTTCAGTTGGAGTGGTTCATTAGCCACCAGGAAGTGATGACATGTCTAAAAAAGGTCACATTTAGTAGGGAAAATATTGAGGTATTTCACGTACATGTACATGTAGGCCAGAAAAGATTTCAAATTTTTTCTACCAGCATGACCAGTCTCATAGAGTTTGTGCACAAGGTGTCAAGCAGCCTCCGTACATGGAATTCTTTCCAGAGTTCTGTATATGAGCATCACTTATTTTCCCTTGCAGTGGTAAAAGTAAAGAGCTTACAGAAAGGGATGACAGCATGTCCTGAAAAGTGAACATCATGAAAATGTTGAAAAAGAAAATGTTGAAAATGTTGAAAAGAACGCCACTTGACAACCTGTGCACAAACCCTGTGAGACTGGTCTGAAAATTTCTACATGTAACTATGTTTTCAAACTAAATGACTTGGCTTTTTCCCTCCTAAATTGAATATTTCTGGACATGTTTTTACTTTCAGATGACTAAAAGGTCACTGTAGGGAATAATTCCTGGCGTTCGTACATGTATGTCATGTAGGCCTACATGTATATGGAACTCTTCCTAGCCCAGCTGATGTCGTATGCATTGCATTTCACCTAATGTCCAGGGTATAAAGTTCTCCTGGCATGGCAAAATTTTTGTTGACCTTTTTTTCTCACATTTTTACCTGGCGGAGGCAACTCAAATGTCGTTCATAAGTGCCTTGTATCCAGAATCGACAAATGCTGTGTTGAAATTACTACTACTGTAAATACCCCCATTGACAACGTGTTTTGCAGGAAATTTAGTGCAACTTCACACTTTCCGTCGTGATTCTTGAACAATCTACATTTGTCTAATACATGTACATGTAGTACGCATTTGCGCCTGCCTTCATTCATGTCACTGAAGATACGCAGACAACAGACCAAGCCGTAGCTGTGGAAGCCTGTTTCGGACACAGCCTTATCTGCAACTTCTTCACGCCCACAGCTCTTTGTGCATGTGTAAAGGGGTGTTGGCTGCTTTGCATTTTGAGCATGGAAAGCGTGGAGTTGCGCTATTTAGTAATTTCAACACAGCATTTATGGAATTCCATATGCAGCAAGGTATGAAACGGAGAGAACCCCCCCTGCTTTGTGTTGGTCATTGTCTCGCAGGAATCTGGGGAATTCCTTTCAGACATCTCGGGGGGATGTGTTAAGTGACAATAATCTGGAATGTGTATAGGGATTGGACATGTTGGGGGGTACCCCTCAGTCTCATTTCTTGCTGGGTATACAAGGCACTTGTGAATGGCATTTGAGTTGGCTCTGCCAGGTAAAAATGTGAAAAAAAACCATTGAAAACAATGTCACTGTGGTAGGAGGACTCTATACCCTGGATATCAGTCAGCGTGTAAATGAAGACAACATCCAACCAGGGTTAACGCTACTCTAAGTAACTTGGACCCTACAAATTGCCTTTGTTAACATTTGGAAATAGTCGGGCGATAGTAGACTCCAAGTACATGTAAATGTACCTTCCATAGGCTTTTGCTTCCATTAATTCGTTTCACTCAAAACAGCTCATACCCCGAATCAAAATCCTCCAAATTCACCAAAAAGAAAGGCGTGTCGGCACACGTGCGCCAACCACCAATTCTTCAGCCCCCCAATATCCAGTATACAGTTCTGATAAGATCACAGCTACCGGACATACATGTACAGTGCTGAGGAATCAGTCCTTGATGCGTGCGTGCCGACATGCCATGCTTTTGTTAATGGTCGCCTAGAGGCCAGCGTGCCATGACGTTGTCTCCAGGACATTCACATATAGTTCAAATCACTATTTGAACAAGATGGCAACATCGCACTCGACGACAAGACCATTTCCGATTTGAAGTGGAAATTTCTCTTTTCTGCCCAAATGTGTGTACATGTAAACTTTATCATCATTACTGGAATATCCGATTGTCACTTGATCCCATGTCAGGCACATTTGCCATTAGACAGTTTTTGTTCCTTCCTCCATTGTCCAACTTCTCACTCAGACTAGGCTAACGTTACATGATGTACATTTTTTTGTACATGTTGAACTTTTCCAAAATTGAACCATTTATTTTAACCCTTGACTATTCTCAAAGTCATAGCCTGAGGCTAGGGACACATATAAATGAGTGTGGGCACTGTTTACTTGGAAAGTCATCTTCTTAAATAGGATCAAATTTGTCTTTTTTTGCACGCTCTCCTCTATTTAATTTCCAATTTCAAAATTCTTGAAATTTGAAGTGGAGCCAGCATTTGATTCATTGCAATAAGTATGTGACCGGCTCCAGAAAAGTGGCTAATAAGTCGCCAGATTTAGGCTACAAGTTTTGATTTGGCTGGATTACATCTAAAGCTAGAATTTGATATGAATGACCCCTGGAGCATGATACATGTACATTTTGGAAATATAAATACATCCATATTTTCAGATTCAATAAACATTTTTCAAGAAAAAGCTCATAAAATGTAGTGCTTGGAAACATAATTCTATATACATGTAGGATTTCCTACTAATTGATCAATTTTTCATCCCTATTCATCAGTATCCATGTTTGTAATAAAAAATTCTGAAAATATAAATATTAGGCATATGGAACTTTGGACATGTTGGAAGATACATGTACATGTAGTATGAAAAACATAAAACCATGTTTTTGAAGAAAATTTGCCCTCTCCAAATAGAACAGGCCATGACATGTTTTGGCATTGCACGACCTATTACCCTTTTTTTGAGAGCGGGTCACAAGAACAAAGGTTTATAAAAATATGAATTTTGTGGTTTTCAGTTAAAATCCACTCTCATTTTTGTGTACAAAATAATCACAGTCAGTCAATCAGCGACAGTTTGCTCTTCATTACACGTGTACAAAAATCATCTCAAAACATCCCCACTTCAAATCGATTTTTCTTTGCTTTGCAGAGTACAATGGATCCAAATTTATATCAAAATAACGTTAGTTCTAATATCATCAGACATCCTCTCCATGATCACTTCAAAATTATAACCAGAAAGAACAAATTTGAAAAGCCTCCCTGACAATAGGGTTTGTACACAGGGTGTGAAGTGATATCCGTGATGGAACTCTCTCCGAGAATTTTTACAGGCTCCCCTCTCACCTGAAATGAGTGATATTCCGGATCGGTCGTAGGCCTACATGTACATCCACACGTGCCAAAGATAGCTGCCTACACGTACACGTACACCTGCACTCGAATCAGATTGCTGTCATGGCTGTTTGACAACAGACTGGCAACTGGCATGTAGGGGTCAAGGGTCAATTTTAACAGTTTGTAGCAGCAGAGGGCGCTTTGCTAAAATTGAAAGGGCCAAGTCTTTTCCAATACTCAACTTCGGCCCAGTCTCAGCTAGGCTTTTTTTTACTAGCTGACTTTGAAGCTGTAAGTGCAGTAATTAGTCTAATAGTGCCACAAAACATCAAATAAGATGCAAGAGAACCAAAAATTATAGTAATCAGGCCCACAAACGGAGACGAAGTTGAGTACTGGAAAACGGCCAAGGGTTGCACTACTGATCTCATCAAGTTCGGGCGGCATGTTCTTGACACGAACGGCGGGCACATCATGATCACACATCTCCTCTTTAAATTTGTCAGGGTTTTACAGGAACTCACTGAGACAGAGACAACAGGAAGTTTTGCAACATTAACATCGATTATTTTCCATAACAGAAAAGAATGTTCCTGTTTAAAGCATTCAGCCTAGTTGTCCAAACATTAACTCTCGAATAACACACACGGACGCCTGCATGTTACTTAATGGCACTAACTACCAGCGATAACCAGTTGTATGTTCCAATCAGTACAGCGTTCGAGCAGCCGACCCCGGAACAACAATCGAACTGTCCGTGAACATACTAGAACAAGCCGCCTGACCTCAACCTATAATGAAATATTATAGAGATCAGTGGGTTGCTCTCATTGATGTCCATTTTATAGACTGAATAGAACCTCGCGCATTGTTTGTGCACAAAATGCGCGGCCGAACAAGGGGGGCGCCTCAGGAGGGGTATGCTGTGCATTTCTGGTCAACATAACCTAAGTTCTCATGGGATGATGGCTAAAGCCCTCAGCCTCTCTCCTGAAAACAAGCCAAAATAAACAGAAAATGCTAGAATCTTATTTATAATTACATATTATATTATAATATTTGGAATAACTTACCATTTTGGCTGATTAACTAACCCACTCGAAAGCGATAATGATAAGCTGTTTGTGTGTGTGTTTTTATTTTTAATTCATTTTAACACCTATTGTCTACGGTCTCATTTTAGTAATATTTTCTCTTTGGGTCTGTTCAATCGTGATTTGTTCAGTGTGTAAAACTTTGAGAATTCTACCAGGACATGCAAAAGGTTTTGTCAGTAAATATCATGTCCAAACTGTCCATGTGTTTTTCGTATGATTTCGAAGAGCCAACACTAAAAAATTCATCAATAAAATGATTTTTATTTTACACACTCTCACGAAAAAATTGTTATAAATAAATTCATTCGTATATTGAGTAAATTTAATTGAAAACCGACATGCGGCATACCGAAGTGTGAGAAACTTTTATGTGAGCACAAAGTGAGCGCAGCTACAAATGAGCGACCAAACTAACTTACTGCCGTAGACAAAGTTTCTTTCACTGAGTTGACTTTGAATTCACATGTTTGTAACTTCATTCAACAGAAACGTCAGCACTCTGCTTCTCACTTTGGTTTCATCTCTGCTCCAAAGAAGAATTCTGTTACTCGTATCACGTACATCGTCTGTCACACGATTTGGGTTTAGTGCGTCTTTAGATCCGACAAACACAAATCATGGCTTTCTTGGAGATTTTCCGGTGAAATCTGGGGAAAATAAAGGACAAATAAGTCATTCAGTTTTTGAAACCAGTTCTACTAATAAGTAACATTTCAGACGGTCCTAACTTCGAGATAGTGAAGTTTCATATACAAAGCCTGATAGGATAGACTTTCATAAATTTCTCACTTGGACTATATAGGCTTAAAGTTAAGCATTGTAAAGTACAACTTGAGAAACTTTCTCAAACTAAAAAAAGTGCGACTCACATTTCCTTCTGTTCCTGCTTCCAAACTTGACGTTGATCTCTGGTAATTCATTGCTGCGTTCACCTCAACCATTATTCTTTCCAAATTTTTCCATACCAAGTGCAGAATTTAGTTTTTTTCGAAATCTGACGGTTGAAGCACAAAACCTCAACCGGTTTTTGAAAAACTCCATTTGAAACCGGAAACTTTCAGTCCCCAATTCGGGATTTACGGAAATATTTCTATGATCCTTCCTGGTTATGGTCTGTTTTATTGTAAAAATTCCGTGGGACCACAAAATAATTAATGAGCTCGCGCGCAGAAATACGACGATTTGGTGGAATGCAGCCCTAGTGCACGTATGTTCGGTTCCGAGTACCGAAGTGTGACGTAACTGTGAACCAGAAAGTGCAGTGCAAACGAATGGAGTAGGCGCACGTGTTGGTTCACGCGTTGGTTCTCGCCCTAATGCCTTTCAACACTAATTGTGCGCGTGACGTATTCCCTTCGCTATTCGGTAGGCCTACTCTATAGACTGTGTGCGCATTTAGTTGTGTATTCGCGCATGCGCGATAGTAAATATGGTCGTCGGCCTGAAAACTGAGTTTAGCAGACGACGCGCATAATGGTGAGGAATTTAAACTGCCATTTGCCTTGAAGACCCTGTGTGTGAATACATTTCCAAGAATCCATCAAATGGTGATATTTAATAGCTTCTGATAAGAAAGATCTCCAGAAATTAACCGAAGAAGTGGAAAATGTCAATTTTTCGACAAAAGATAATTAAAAATTTTCGGATTTTAAAGTTAAATTTGTGTCTAATTTTCACAATTTTGCCGGGTTAACCTTCAATAACTTTGATGCCATAAGAAAGACTTGTAACTCTTATGATCAAAAAAGTTTCTTTCTTCTAGGCAGAAAACCTTTTTTGATATTCACTGCGTTGTTTCATTGCCGACCCATCTTCGTCATTTTCCATGTTTTTCACCTTATTTAAGTGCCCATTTTCACACTTTTGTCGAATTCCCCTCATGTCATCGGTGATACTGTCTGGAAGACTGGTGAATCATTTGTATCCATCTATTCATTTCTTCAAGATCGAGAGCCATTTGTCTTAAATGCGGTTCATTTTTCATGCGGATTCAAATTTCCGCGGCCAGCCCGACATGACCGACAGCGGGTCGAAAATGAGATGTACTTGTACGGATTTAGGGAATGGCATACACATGCACACAAACACACACACACACCTGGATACGAGCGCGTTTCGGTACGAGTTGACGTACAACTACGACGTCAAATTGCCCGACTAAAAGGCCCAAACAAAAACTTTCCATTATCATCCATACAGTTTCCTTCTTGTATGATACTTTCTCATTGGAGCATTCATGATATTCCTCACTATTCACAAACAGAGAAATGTCACCGAAAACTCGGCAAAACTTAAAAAAAAAATCCCCTCTAAAATGTTGGCTTCACTTCCAACTTCTGACTCTGTTACTTTGGAGGTACGTAGGAAAGACGGGCAAAAATTTGGCAGAAATGGATTTTTATTGTGTGTAAGTTAGCAAAAGGCATTTAAATGTTTAAATACTTATCGGTACGGAAATTAGGGGCAAACAACTTTTTTCTGAGTTTGATGTTGATCGATTAATTTTGGGGTCCACCTGTCCGAGTCAAGAGCCATTTTACGGGCTTCTGGCTGTCGTGGGATTCAGTACGCGTGCGCACAAACTGAGGGGCATGAACACACGTGAGTTCTTGGTTCTTGGCTGCAGTTTGGTGGTGGAGGGGAGTGACGGACTAAACGGTGAAAAAATTCCAAAAAGAGCTGTCTTTCATTGAACTGCGTCTGTTTGTGTAAGTATTTAGTACAGTGGAGACCATTCCATGCTGTGATTGTACGGGGAACAAAATGAATTTTTGTACACTTCCGACTTTATGGTTACAAACTGAGTTGTGTGACCTCGCTAGTGGGTTTGGCTTAGTGTGAGCTTGATAATGTAAAGTTTTCCATGTAGCATCTTGTAGAAGGAAGTCTAGCGGTGTATGTCCCAGGCCTGTCCCGGAGGGTGCTCCATTGCTCCATTCAAGTGAACTCGGGAGTTCGGTAACACTCGCTTCCCTTTCGTAGGTGTTAGTCATTCGAAATCGGGCAGCCTGTCTCTGAACTCGCTCGATGGAATATCCTATGCAGCAGTTGCGTAACGTGGCCTATCGTGGGTGAGATGCCGTTTATCTTCTTGGCAGAAGCAGAAGTTGCACAGTGGTGGAAGTTTGGTCTCAGAAAATCCAGCACTTTTGCTTTAGCTGTTGCATGATGAATCTGGAGATTCCAGCGCAGATTATTTTGGATTTTGATGGCAGGATCTGTTTGGTTTCCTCAAGGGTGACACCAAGGATGTTGTACGATGTTTCAACTGGATCCGTCCTGGTGACACGCATATGGTACTTTTCACATTTGGACGTATTAAAATGCATGCCCCATTTTTGCGACCGCTCAACCATTATATGAAGGTTTTTTGAAGAGCCTCTTAGCAGACTTGATTGAACTGATATAACTGGCAATCATCAGCGAATAATCTGGTGGTGCTTATGGATGTCATTGAATATGGATACAATAATGTGTCCTGGGGTTCACCACTTAACACAGGATGCTACTTTGATTTTTTTCCCGTACACACTATCGCTTGTTGCAGGCGTTTTGTTAGGAAGCTGGAGCTTATGGTGGCCCTGGAGCCGGGACATTAAAATTCATGACAAACTCGTGAATATTTTTACGACGTCGTGAAATTAGTCACGGCTAGTCGTGAATTTGTATATTGTTGCAACGTCTAGAATTTCTCATGACTAGCCGTGAATATTTTGGCGATATCGTAAATTCATTTCACGACTAGTTAATTGTGAATATATTTGCAAAGTCAGGAATAAATTCACGACGGAATAAATTCGCGACTACAGTAGTGAATATTCTGGACTACAAGTCGTAATATCTTGTCTTATTTCTCTAGCAACTTGGAAAGACATTGGAAAGATATTCGTGACCGATCTTTAAATCTAAACACGACTATTCGTGAATAAATTTGCCACGTCGTGAATATTTATGTTCCTCCGAGTCCAAGGCCACCACCGGAACTCCATCGTTTTGTACTGGAAAAACACCATAGAAATCAAGTTTGTGATAATAAATAAAAGCCAATGATCTAATAGAGATCAGTGGTGGTTAAAGCTTTGGACACAGGTTAGGAAAACATGGGAGTCAGGGTTTTTCATCAGAAGAGAAAAGGAAGCTTTACAAGATTGGAATTGTTTTGGAAATCTGCCTGTCTATAGGCCAATGCTTTTAGGTTTTGCCAAAAATGAAATGAGGATTTTGTAAAACCGGTTGCCAAGTGCGTCAGACTATTTTCGAAACAGGAATTCAAAACTCTGCTGATAAAAGATTACCTTGTGCTTCCATCTTTAAAGTTTACTTGTTTGTTTTTACTTGTTTGTTATTGGTTTGATATTAAATTAAGCATGAAAGCCTCTCTGGTTCAATAAACCTACACGCTAAAAACTCCCGAGTCAGATTGACCCAGAATTGGGTCCCATTCGGCGTTACCCTTTTCTGGTCAAAATATGACCCCCCCCCCCCTTTCGGCTCATATTTGACCCTTTCTGGATCATATTTGACCCTTTCTGGGTCGTATTTTACCCTTTCTGGGTGAGAATTTGACCCGGAAAAGGCACGGTCACGCCGAATGGGACCCAATTCTGGGTCAATCTGACCCGGGAGTTTTTAGCGTGTAGGTTTATTGAACCAGAGAGGCTTTCATGCTTAATTTAATATCAATCAAATTTTTACCTGGGAGGGGGGGGCGATTATATTAAGAGAACTCTGATGCCTAACCGGGCCAAAATTACGGTAAGCCTCAAATTTCCACGAGGACATTTTCATCCAGCGCGCGTCATATCGAAAATCCTCACCGCTCTCCCAAACTGACTTTGATCGACCCCTCCCCTCCATAATCCTCCTACAAGTTTAACATTTGTATAGGCTGCGAAGGGTTTTCAGCGCAACCTGGCGCAGCAACCGATCAGAGTATAATTTAAATATCCCACTATGGTTGCGTTCGATGAGCTTACACGTGTAAGTCAAACTTACACGAGAGCGTTTGTTTAGCAATCACGTGATCTCCAGGCCTACTCTGGTGTCAGCCACTACTACCCCGGCTAGCGAGCGGGTCTCCGGAGGCTGCCCGATCTGTGTATTACGTCACGGATGGACAGTTTATTCTCAATTCTTATCTTTTGAAAGCGAAATACGAATGTGATGAAAACATAAAAATCACAGCGGCAACAGTACAGCGGGTTCAAACTGCAGGTACGCAGTTATCTAACGGCATGTGTTTTCGTAGCTAGCAATAAATAGAATGTAGTGACGTAAACGCAAGTCTGGCAGAGGTGTGATATGCGATCTCATTGGGCGAAGCCGCGAAGGACAACCACTGCACTTGAAAAAGCAGAAATCTTATCTGTAATATCACAAATGTTACTTAGAACACACTCCTGACTACAGGCCGGCATCACTCGTAAATGGCCGGCAATCAGATGGTATGGTGCCTTCTTGATCTAATCGGTCGCAAAAACAACGCTTACAATTAGAGGTGAACATTTGTTCAATAAGCAGTAAAAAAAAATCTAGAAACGTGCATGGCGCCATGGCGACACCAGACAAAACGGACTTGTACAGTTCAACTGACACCAAACGATGCACTCCAAAAATTCTAACTCGGTTTATAATTACAAGGACACACAAAACACATCGAGCAAATTTCGTACTGCTGACGTAAAAAAAAATGACACACAAATATGCCTATAAACAAGATATACAAACAGCTCCACTGGAAATCAGATCCCCAGAAAAACGTATCAATTTTAATACAAATACCATTTTTAACGAACATCAGTGGGCATCCTACGATGCATTAATTGCACAAAACACGATTGCACTTCCTCAAATCAAAGTCACTGTAACTTAGGAGCCACTGTGGGACGTACAAGCTTTTACAAGCTGCTTTTCTAAATCTGCATAAGCGAAGTATATTCAGAACATGAGCACAGTAAGGGCGATTCGCAATAATGCGCCTCCGCGAGTTTGCATCCCGTTGGCCAATCACAACGCGTAAAATCTGTCGACCATTTCCACACGCGCATTGGGTCGACAGACTTCACTCACTGTGATTGGCTATTGCGTTGCAAACTCTTGATGGCGTGCTATTGTGAATCGCCCGTACAAAAAATATTTATTCTGAGAACAATAAACAGTCTTATTCTCTGAAGGTTAAAATGTAATTCTTTCAAAAAGTTACAGAATAGCTAAACAAAATGGAAGATAAATGAGAAACTTCTGCTGGGATTGAAATGTCGAACTCCTAACTTTTCCAATTCATATTTAAGGCCACCGTAGCAAGCAGGCAGTTCACTGTATTTTTGTATTTCCCACTGAAGGTTTTATGGTGAATTTTACCCTTTCTTTATTGATGTATAGTTTAGTTTTCAATTTACCTCTCTTGCATCTAGATTTGGGCTTGTTTCCATGATTGCTATGTTTTAACCATGCTTCATAGGGCTCTTCTTATTTTATACAGAAATACACACACAAAAGGATGTTGCCACGAAAGTAGCACGTTAAACCCGTAGTAATCTAGATCATTCATGCCAACCATTGTGGGCAACAACACGTCCGTTTGCCACCAGAAGTTGAGATATGATCGGCAGTAGTCCAAAATGAAACCTAAATCAGTGGACACATGGCATCATGGCTGTCAAGGACAAACATCATCCTCGATGTAGGTGGAGCACTCAGCCAATACATCCACCCTCTTCATTGAGGTGTCTCTTCATTGAAAGTTTTGTACATTCCATCATTGCCCTCATCCACGTTGTTCGTCGAGGGCATGGGCAACCCCGAATCGTCTTTGGGTATAGGAATGTACTGTTTGAGAACCTTCACGTACAGCAAATTCAAAAGTAGGATGAGACCAAAAAAGCCCATCCACTGCAACGTAAAGTGAAAAATAAACATAACTCCACTGGAAAGTGTGGATTCGTACACGTATGTGGGTACCTTATGGCAAATGAATGCAGTGTCAATATGGATCACCGAATAGTTCTAGAGTACTTTTTTCTTCAAATACTTAAGTTCAATGAGCCAAATGAAACCAAAGTTAGTCAAGTCTGATTTCTTTTGGGAGGTATTTTCTTTCTGAAAAATTGACACGTTCGGGAATGGAGGAAGCCAAAATTGATTGAAATTCCAAAGAAATATGTTCACTTAAAGCACCTGCTTCTTTGAAAACAAATTGTCATTTAAAAATTATCTAGATCCTCAAAGAATAAAAATTAACTTATCTCGGGACAACTATTTATTCAAATTGAAATCTGACAATTCAACTGCCTTACACAGTTGAGTGATTTAACATGTACGGCAAACATTACTCTTGCCTACTGTGACCACATTTTAGAACTAGACAGAGATAGTGCAGCCGAGTATGGTACACTTGTACACATTCTTCCATATCCTGGGTGTGCACATTTTGGGCTTAAGAATGAAAGTGTCATTTTAATTATCCACAGACGGAAAAGATTCTCTGCCAAGAAAATTTCTCTTTTGCTAACTTGTTTAGACACTGTGCTCACCTGCACAACTGTCGTCATGAAACTCCCTGTGGAGAAACCATACCATGGGTCTGATTCTCGTATTGTTGTGACAGTCCACCAAACAATCAGTGCTACAGCCTCCAAAGGTGCAATAAACCTTTCAATGGCAAAAGAAAATTGCCAGGATCTCTTAATTTAGTTCTTAGATAATTTGTGAAGACCATCACATGATGTCTGTCATCCCTGCACTCATATATTTTATGGGGGAGGGAAATATGAAGTCTGTGGTCAGGTGGTACTGCACCTTAACTGTTCCGTATGACTCAACCGTTGTCACTTTGTTTACTTCAAGCTGGCTGATACGCGTGTTTGTTTGGAAAGTGGGGGACAGACCAAAGCTATTTAATCGTTTTGTTCACAGAGACTTACACGTAGTACTTCGGGGCAATCATGTTGCAAGTTACTACTAAAGCAAGACTCCACTGATAAGCCCCAGATCTGCAGACCATCATGCTGGCACTTTTCCAACTGTGCTTTTGAATCTCAACCAAACTGGTTTATTTTGGGGGGGGGGGCAAAAAACCCTGAAAATTATATCATGTAACCTTTAGTATCCTTTCTGAGGGTGAAGTATTTGGAACCTTTGTGCACACGTCTGGAAGCAAGCTGTTTGAATACCTTTCTTTTCATTATTAAAAAACACAAGAAAAAACATTTGAGGGGCTTCTTTTTGGGGGGGGGGCATACGGCAAAATCAGTCTGAATCCTAACTAACAGACTTTTTTCAAACTGTTATCAATGAAATAAATCAACATAAAAAGCTCACTTTACGATCCATTCCCAGATGAGAGGTAGTGGCCAATCACTCTCACTGAAATCATTGACCAGCTCTTGGCGGAAACGTCTGGCGCCAAAGCGGATGATCAGGTACTGCAAGGCCATTCCAGACAGGAGCAGAGCAAAACCCCAGACAAAATCCTGGTGAATAATTGAACACCAAACGAGAGAAAAACCTACTTAAACTAAAAAGAAAAGACCTTTTCTTTTCTGTTCAACAAATCATGGTTGACAAATTGGAGTGAAATTGAAAAAGTTATACAAGATTTAGGTGATCACCAGTTTGTTTTCTGTCACAAAACAGCATATTTAATCCAACATGACTGATAATCATTACCTGGTTGGCAAGGAAGTCAAGGTTCAGAGCAGACCCAAGCCCCAACAGAAACACCACAATGGCTACAGCTGGAGTTGCTTTCTTTCTGGACACTGAAAATGCATTAACAGAAAGAGCTTTGAGCCTGGAAATTTTATTAGAGGTGATTTAGAAATTTTGGGGGGTGCCTCCCCTTCAACCTCCTGGAAAAAAGGAAAACTATATTCTCAAATACA